AAACCGCTTAGAGAGGCCTGAAAGGCCTATGAAGCGGTATATAAGTCTACTGCTATTGCTATTGCTATAAAGATCTCTGTTTGTAGGGCCCTCTCCCATTTTCCATAAGCATCTTTTCTCTTCAGCTTCCTTCTTGTGAGCCTCTTCTCCAACCATGTCAGCTTCTTTAGATAATTTTCTTCTTCGCTGATGTGATGCCATCCTTAATTTCCTTTTCAAAATATCCCAACTGCCTACAAAACCTTTGCACTTAAGTTTTTCTTCCCAGAATACCTTATTTCCGGTTTCTCTTGGTTTATAAAAATTTGCCTTCCTAAAATCCATAGTTTGAGCATCACCATTTTCTACCCAGTTTTTTTTTTTAAAATCAGGAGATTGTGCACATGAGAAGGGGAAGCGAAGGGACACAAAGGAGTGGGGCAGTGGTGGTGGTAGGTGGGGGAGGGGAGAAAGGCCGGGGGTGCTGATATTGCTGATGTCTCTTCCTTCCTTCCTCCCTGCTGCCGGTTCTGGACTTCCCTCTTTTAGCCCAAAAAGAAAACTTGTGAATGCACAGAGATCTCTTGCGCAATTCTGGGCATTTCTGGCTTGCCAAAGAGAACAGGGTGGGGAGAGTGAAAGAGGAAGGGGAGCTGTTACTGAGTTGGTCTCCCCCCCCCCCCCCGCGCCCCAGACAGAAGCCTTTGGGTGGGAGAATCAAGCTCACTTTTTGCCCTCCCCCTGACAGCAGCCAGATAAGAACAGGGAAGGGACCGGCCTAGGAGCTCTTTGGGCTTTCCCCTTGCCGGAGCTGGAAGGGGGCAGGTCCCAAACAAGTCTTCCTGGAATGGGCTGTGGGGGGTGAGCAGGGGGGAGGTTACAGCAGGCAGGGGAGCAGCAGGCAGTTGACTGCCCTGGCACTGCCACCCACAACAGAAGCAGTCGGCTCCATGGACCACCCAGAGGTATGGGCGAGTTGGAAGGAGGGTGGCAACGATGGTGGTCGCCTGCCAGGACCCCACACTTAATGGAGAAGAAGAAGAGAGGGTGGAATGGGGGAGGGTTCCAGCTAGGCTGTGGGTCTGCCAACCACCGCTCCCCCCTCCCACCTCTGTTCTTCGGACTGGAAAATTCTCAGCACTCTGGACAGCTGGGAAGAAAAGTGGCAACCCCCCCCCCCAGTCCCCCCCCGTTTCAATGGCAGCCGAAAGCAAATAGCGAAACAAGGGCGGACATAACCATTCACAATAGGAATCAGCCCTCCTCCTCCTCCTCCTCCTCC